CAATCATTTAAAAAGTAATCCCACTAGAAGATACTAAATATGTATGTACTTAGTAACAAAATTTTAAAACATATGAAGAAAAAAAATCCAAAAAACCAAATGGCAATATAGGTAAGAACAATTATTATTATAGATTGTTTGACAGACTAAGTCTCAATAAATTACAAATGGCTGAAATGTCACACAGCACAATTTCTAATCACAACAGCATTGAATTAGAAGCCACTACTCATTTGGAAATTAAGCAAATATATGAATGTCATCTTCACTGATGTAAACACTGCTTCTACATATACATTTATCAAAATTAACCTAATTGAAATTTTAACATGTTATTCATTGTACATAAATGTTTAATTCAATTTAAAAATGAAAAAGAAGTTAATATAGGCTTAACTGAATTCAGATAAGCTCAAGATATATGGAACTCAAGATATCTAAGTTGCAGTCAAAATACAATTTTAGCTTTTCTAAACTTGTTCAGTCTAGTTTAAAAAATTCTTAAAACAGAGTTACTTGAATAAAGTTTATTCTTAGGGCAAACTTTGGCAGTTCTAAGTATGTTTGTATTATCCTTTCATCAATGAATATTTACTAAGTTCAGTCTAGTGGGAGGCAGAAATGACAAAGGTATCTGTGACAAGTATTTTAAGGACCTTCCTGGTGGCACAGCAGGTTAAGCACAGCACTAAGAAACTGAAGCCACTTTAATATGAATTCAATCTCCACATGTCCTGGAGGTGACCACATGGTGTAGCAGACCTCTCCTGACCCACCCGCTACTCCCCTCAGCAGTGTACTTCATCAGTCGGCCTGTTCTGCTCCCCACTCTATCTCTGGTGAATCCTCTCACGGCCTTGCACCTCTGGCCGGCATCCCAGTTCTGTATGTGTAAATAAATAAATAATTTTTTTAAAAAAGTATATTAAAAAGAGATACTAATGTAACAATTAGGAAAGGCACTTAATCTAGATTTGTTTGAATTGAGTTTTTGATTTTTTAAAAAACATTTATGTATACAGAACAGGGGTACAGGCCAGAGGTGCAGGGGCAGTCAAAGGATTCACCAGAGACAGAGTGGGGAGTAGAACAGGCAGATCAATGAAACACACTGCTAAGGGGAACAGCGGGTGGGCCAGGAGAGGTCTGCCATACCATGTGGGTCACCTCCCTGGCCAGGGACTGAGCTCATGTAGTGGCTGCAGCTAGCTTTGTAGTGCTGTACTTTAACCTGTTGAGCCACCAAGGAGGGCCCTGAATTGAGTTTTTAACTACAAATTACAAATAGCATAAGGGAAGTAACAGAAAGAGGGACAATAACATATACTGGAAATATACGAACACAGTAAACTCTAAATTTACGATGGGGCATTTTAAGCAATGCTATAATTAGTGTATAGTGGTCAAAGATGGGACAGTGACATACAAATCTGAGATATTTAATAGCAGGGCACAAGCATACACTAAGGGGTCTGTTACAAGTCTGGATAATAAATCTAAGCAGATAAATTTTCCAAAACAATCACTTTGGTTAGCAGGATAAGGACTACATTAAAGGGGTGGAGGTAGTTATCAGTTAATAAATTATGGAAGCATGCAAGACAATAGACAATGAAGGTGTTAATATAGCTATAAAATGTGGAATCAAAAAGACTATCTAAATGATTGGTTCTAGTGTCTGAACACAAATGTGTCAAAAAAAATTCTGAGTTTCCTTAGATTGTTTTTTCTACTTTATGAAGATATGTTTTGCCACTTGGATACATAATATTAAATTCCTTATGTACTCATTTGGTTTCTACAACATACTAAGTACTTTGAGTACAGGAAGCCTGTCTTCTGAATCTAGCAGGGGCTAGGAAAATCCATAGTTATTCAAACAATTATCATATTGCATATATTTGACGTAACTCACTAAAACATCTCTAAGGCTTTACACACCTTTCTTTTTAAGTATATTTTTATATGACAAATCCCCTGGGCTTCTTGTAAAAAAATGTAGATTTAAGATATAACACTAGACTTACTAACCTAGTATCCCCAAGTAGTGCCCTAAGAATCTGCATTTTATATAAGCTTGCCAGTAACTATTGTGTACATTAAAGTTGAGAGCAATTACACGATTCTCCAAATCTCTTCATAGGGAAAATTTGTCATTCTAAAGTCTCTGGTCTTTTTACATTTCTTTGGATATCATATATTCTACTCTTCATCAAAGATAGCAGAGTGGTATAGGAAAAATACATTCCTAACTTCAATGGTAGACTAAATATCTAAGATAAAACTTAGTCAAATTTATTTCGTATTCCTAATTCCAATGGCATGGTAACGTTAGATATGCAATGTGAACTCCAACTATCAAGGCGTGTTGCCCAGAGTCAGGAATTGGTCTACGATTATTTGCAGATTTGCCTTAGAAAAATGTTTGTATTTTTCTATGAAGCAAATATATCAAAGACCATGTTTTTATTTATTTTTTTAAATATTGGGTGATTTGTAAAGCAACTAAAAGAAAAAAGGAAAACATTCTTGCATTTCTAGTCAATTAAATAGTTTCGTTTTAATAGTGCACTGCTTGATTATTCCTCAATTCCTTTATAAAGACTAACTCAAAGAATAGACAACCCTTTAAAAATGTGATTACTTCTTAGATAATACTTAAAATCAGTCAGTCATTTTCCTATAATGCAGAAATATATTTAATTATTGAGAGTTAAAAGGGGAAGATTTCACCTGTGATTTAAATATTTATTAACATAAAGTTGTAATTCTTTTTGTTTGTTTGTTTCATTCTCATTCCTTTAAAACTGGATTGTGATAATGGATGCACAATGTTATAATTCACTAAAAATAATTGCAAGCGAATTTTGTGCTATGAAAATTATAAGCTGTTAAAATAATTATGTGCTCATGAAATAAATAACACATCCTTTAGGAATTATCTAAACTTGGAAGCAATGAATATCATGAAGATACTAGCTATAACTAATACCATACCATATGCTCCTGGATTTCAGAACTTTCAAACCTATGAGCCTACTTAGGGTCAGTATCAGGGGACCAGAGAAGCACCATCTTTAGACATTAACCTTAATAGAATGATAGCCTGGCAAAGGCCAAACTCTCGCATCTAAGCAACAAGGTCAAACTTTTATCAAAATGCCAGTAAAAGAAAGCTAGATGAAGGCAGTTACTTCCTTGTCTTAAAATGTGATAATAATGTGGTAACTTCTATCAACTCAAATTCTTGAATTGTTTGTAGCTTCTATGAGTTCAGGTGTTTATCAAAAAATTCCATACATATTCAGGGAAACATTTTCCATACAATGTGGTAAGTTCTATTGACAGTGTTTTCACAGGGTGAGGTGTCTGAGAAAATATGTAACCAAATCATTGGTCAGAGCCTGGAGGTTTGGTAGAGAATGCCAGAAAAAATGTCTGAAAGTTAACATCTAAACTGAAATTCAAACAAAGAAGAGGTAACAGTTAGGAAAGAAAAATTTTTTTTTCAACAAAGAATAAAGCAAGAATACAAAGTGGAACCACAAACAGTATGCCATCAGGAGAGAACTAGCTGACAATTCAGTTATTTAGTTTATGTTTCAAAACAAGGATGGGCGATAAACTGCCAAAAATGAAAACACTACAAAAGAATTTTTCATAAAGGTCTCATCAGCTTACTAGGTTTTAACTTTTATTTTGACCACCTACAATTAAAAATAATTTATTGTGTAAAAATAAACTGTTATAAAAAATTTATTGATCTCTTCTCTAAATCCTATAAATCTGGGCTCATGACTCCCTGTGATACATAACCATGAAGAATAAAATAGTTGAGCTTTTGGAGACCCATTGTTTCTATGTTTTATTTTTACAATCTGTATGCTTTTTTTTTATTTAGTAGAATTTTATTGGTTGACCACTTATTTTAAAGCTTTATAAACTTCACCTCTGTGTGTGTATAAGCCTCATTTACCTACCACCAAAGTTCTACTACTCACTAGCAGAACCTCTAACCTACCCTCCTACAACCTTTCACCTCCGTTAATCACTCTATTTTTCACAGAGTTCAAGAGTTATTTTTGGGCAACCCCATCTTTTAGAAAACAGTTTTACAGTATCGTTTCCCCATGATTCCCTGCCATTTAAAAGACTCCAGTTATAAACACTGCTAAAACAAAGCAGTTTAAGAATAAAATGACCCATCAATCAAAAAAGATAAACACATGCCATTCACAGCAACATGGATAGAGCTAGAAGGGATAATACTAGTAGAATAAGTTAGAAGAAAAAAGAAAAATATTGATGGCATCACTTATAGGAAGAATACAAGGGACCCAAATAAGGGATCAGGGAAAAATAACAATAATAAAATTAGTAGGCAACGATAAATCAGACATTATACAGGGGAGGGGAAGAGAGAAGAATCAAAATAGGGGAAGAACACAAGGGACTATAGGAATGATGCACAGATGAAGTGGTGGTGGAAATTCTATGGGGATTACACTTGAGAAGAGAAAGCAAACACTGTACAAAAATGAACAACGATATAAAATATATATAAATAAATTGTATTTAAAAAAACAACCAACCAGAATATACTTATATTACGTCTTACGTAATATGTTTGTTCCTGCAGCAAGGATTTCCTTTCTTTTATAACATCAAACTCTAAAATAAGGACAATTTATCTGGAAACAATGTAGTAGGTATGTAGTATGAGTATGTTAATTAAGTTTACAACTTTATAATCACACAATCTTGCAATCATAATGAAGTGGCCGTCTTGGCCACATCTGAAAAGTTTGGCCAAGTCTTTTCTCTTTTTCTTTAAAACTATACCATATTTGCATTTTTTCACTGTTTAGTTAGTATGTTGCTGCAGAGACCTGCTGTTACTAAAAGGAAGAAAGCCTTATTACACTGTAGAATACTTATATAACTATTTCACAATATTTCTTCAACTTGATAATCTCGACCAATATTTAAAGAACACTCACCTGCTTTACATTGTATCCTGCTTTTGCACTAGTTTCAATAAACATAACATTTAGCTCTTTGGCTTTCCTTTCTCCCTCCTCAATTGACACTTGCCTGTAGGAAAATTTAAAAAGATAACTTTCCTTCTGAAAAGTGACAACATAAAGGTTATAAACAATGTTCATAAAATAGCTTTTCTTGATATATATGCTATTTACAAAGGTTTGGAAATTCATCAAGCTGAAGTACACTTAAAATCTGTACACTTCTATACCTGAACACACAATTTTTAAAACAGGAATTTTTAATAATTTATTTTAACTTAGCCAAGCATATCCTGCAATTTTTTTCATTTTAAAAACTGAATAGTCTTTTAATTTCTCTTAATAGTAAATTTGGAGCACTTAAGCCTTTTGATTAAAAGCTTTGTGTAAAGCAATTTTTATGGTAGACAATTAACTGCCATACTTCATGTAACTATTAGTTGCTATAATTTATGTAACCATTCTCCCTCAAGTTGTCAAAAATCTATGTTTTCAAATTTTACAATATGAAAAATACTGCTATAAACACACTGTGCTTTATATCTTTCACAATGTGATTCATTCCCTTCTATTAGATTTTGTGAATTTCTGTAAGTGGCACAAAGGAATCAAAAGAGGTACATGTTAAAGGCTCTTAATTCATGATATTAATACTTCAATATTTCTTTTACAGAACATTTAGTGATGCTGCATAATTAGCAGTGTGTCTCAAATTGTGAACGCTTCTAGTGCAAGATAACCTAACTTATCTTAGTGTTCCTAGAGCCTAGCTGGAAAGAGAAGTTTAATACATATACAAAGAATGCTGTTAAATAGAACAAACTATGATTTGACAATCAAAACCTGATTTCTACGTTAGAGAAAAACTGAAGCAATGCAAAGAACTTCCATAAGCTCTTACCACATCTATCCACCAATCTACCTGTGTTTATGCCCTTATAAATTATCTCTAGTCCTTACCCCCAAAACTTACACATCTGTACATTAGATTCCACTTTTTGTCTCAAGAAAATATTACTACATTTGCCTTCTTGTCCTCTCATTGTCTATATGTTAAGTATGTGCGTATACTTTTTTTTTTTAAACTTGAAAGTAACATGGTACTCTGCAAACCTTTAGCATTAGATAAATACTTTGACCCTAAACTCAATGTGAATTTCCTTGGAACAATATGTTAGGTGACATGAAAGGTACTCTTTTTTGGATCTCTATCACTACCTATTGAACCTATGCAGTTTTGTGGTATTCTAAACCATTTATGTTAATGATTCCCAAATTCCTATATCTTGCTTGGATCATTTATAGCTGATATCTTCAGTAAAAGATATTTATTTTTTAAAGGTTTATTTATCCATATAGAACTGGCATACAGGCCAGAGGTGCAGTGGGGTGAGATGACTGACCAGAGACAGAGGGGGAAGAACAGGCAGACTGATGAAGTACAATGCTGAGGGGAACAGTGGACAAGACAGGGAGAGATCTGTTATGCCATGGATCACCTCCAGGGCTGGGGATCAAACTTGCACTGAAGCAGCTGCGGCTAGCTTACAGTGCTGCGTTCGAACCTATTGTGCTACCAGAGAGGACTTTCAGTAATATGGGCCTACCTTTTTGGTGTAGAGGTTAAGACTCACCACCATTAACCTATCACTAGCCACAGCAGCGTAAGTTTGATCCTCAGTCAGGGAGCGAATCCAGCAAGATAGTGCAGCAAGACCTCTTTTGTTTCTCCTATTACTTCCCATAGCAGTGAATTTCAGAAGATCTGCCTGCTCTGCTCCCCACTCTGTCTCTGGTGAATTCTCTCACTCCCTACCCCCACACCTCCAGTCTACATCCTAAAAATAAATCTTTTTATTTTTAAATTTTATTGAACTTGTGCTGCAGTTGCTGCTATAACTTCAAGTGTTGTGCTTTAACAGGTTGCATCACCAGGGATGGCCCAATAAATCTATTGAAAAAAGATATTTAGTAGCCAATCTAAACATAAAATGATCAATTCTCTGCCAAACCTGCTTATTATGCAGTCTTTCCCATTTCAGTTAATTACTCAGACCAAGATTTGGGTGTCACCTTGTTCTTCCACGTCCCTTATTCTGTTCCACTAGTATGTATTCTTTCCTTTGCATCCTGACAGTTCTAGCTTCAAAATTTGACCACTGATTGCCATACAACCTACCACTATTCTGGTACTAGTCATTATGTTTTGCTTGGGTTACAGTATGAGTTAGTTTTTTACTAGTCTCCTCACTTCTACCCTTATGTGTTTTCAACAGAGCAGTGATCTATAAAAAATTACTCCTCAGCCCTCCCTGGTGGCACAGCAGGTTAAAGCACAGCACTAAGAAGCTAAAGCCACTTCCGCATGAGGAGGTGACCACATGGTGTAGCAGACCTCTCCTGACCCACCCGCTGCTCCCCTCAGCAGTGTACTTCGTAGATCTGCCTGTTCTGCTCCCCACTCGTCTCTGGTGAAGCCTCTCGCTGCCCCTGAGCCTCTGGCCTGTTCCTCAGTTCTGTATGCACAAATAAATCTTTAAAAAAAAAAAAAAATTACTCCTCTACTAAACCCTCCAAGCCCATTCAGATAGTGTCTTTACTTTGCCTTTACTTTACTTTGTCTACGACTCTTCCCATTATTCTCTTTACTAGTAATATAGACTTCCTTGCTAGTCTTCAAATAAATTAAGGGTATTTCTAATTCAAACCCTGGGATTTTACTTTCTCTGGGTCACTTGCCAAAGACCTTTTCCTCCTTAAAAATATTTGCATTGTTAACCCCTTTCGTTTCTTAGTATCTTTACTCCAAAGTTACCAGTCATCTCCTCAGTGAAGTCCTTCACTACTATACTGTCTAATATTTTAAACTCACCCTTATACTTCATATTCCCTTTTTCTTGCTGTATTTTTTACTATTAAACATGTGTTTTATTGACTACTGTCTGGTTTACTCTCTGAAATAAAAGTCCCCTAGAACTTGCCTCTTTTGTTACCTATTCTATCCTCTAGGAGTATCCTCTGAAACCTCAGTGACATTCAATACTTCTTAAATGAAATGATTATTAGCCTATAAACCCTATGTATGAAAGATTAAAGGAAAAAGTCCTTTCTGATTAGAATCCTAAGTGTATTCACTGGAATAAAATGCTTGAAGGTTTACTATAGTAATGGTTCCAATGTGGTCTGATTTTGAAAAATACAGGAACAATCTTTACAGATACAATGGGCTCAACCTAGAGTAATTTAATCACAAAGTAGGATCAACCTCTCTCCAAATTAAAAAAACACCATGAAATATTATAGTCAGAAGCATAAAAGGTCTAACAAATGTTATTTACCAAGCAATTCTCAGGTCTGAAACATCTAGAAATGACTGACAACAGGGGATACAAAAAGTACTCAACATTTAAAAGCTCACACCTAAAACGATCTTTCCTGGTTTTTCTTATAAGTTAAAAGAAGTTATTTAATTCTAAAAGTGACAGACATTTAACTTAAAATTGTTTTTACTGAACCATTTCCTCCCAATCAGAAAAGTAATCAATTTTTAAGTAATCAAAAAATTTAAAGATGAATCGTTGTATTTTGTAAAGTCCTCCATAATTTCATCCCTTTCCCCAAAACAACTATAATTAATCTAAGTATGTTTATGTAGATTTGTTCTAAGGAAAATATACACTTTAAAAAAATAACAAGAAGAAAGGACATTATACTAGACACATCAAGTGCTTTTTAAAGATGGTTATTCTTCAATAAATTCCTGTTCTTTTTAGTGCCATAAATTATTACATTTATAAACACTTCAGCTAATAGTGGACACTTAGACTGATTAAAAATTTTTAGTACTAGAAATTATGTTGTAATAAACATTTCTGTTAATTTTTTATATTTCTGTGAAATAATTACTGGATATAATAACCTGAGTATTTTTAAAAAATGATTAATATATTTATGCACACAGAATTGGGGTACAGGCCAGAGGTGCAGAGGCAGTGAGAAGATTCACCACAGGCAGAGTGGGGAGCAGTGGGCAGGTCAGGAGAGGTCTGCCATGCCATGTGGGTCACCTCCGGGGATCGAACTCACTCTGAGGTGGCTGCTGCCAGCTTGCAGTACTGTGTCCTAACCCACTGCACCACCAGGGAGGGCCCTAACCTGAATATTTTAAGATCTGCTACTGTTAAATTATTTCCCTCCAAAAATTCTGTTAGTTACATTTCTATTGTATGAGAGGTTCTGGTTTATTCAGCCTCTTGACAATACTGTACACTGTCAATCTCCTAAATAATTGCTGATCTAATAGGTGACTGCTCTTTATATTTTGTATTCAAACTTATAAATCTTTCCCTTTCTAGTTTCCGGATTTTACGTCATGCTTATAAAAGGACACACATACAACTAATATTTTCTTTTAAATCTTAAAAAAGGGCCCTCTCTGTTGGTGCAAGATTAAAATGCAGTACTATTAAGCTATCCACAGGGCGAGTTTGATCTCTGGTCAGGAGGTGACACACAAAGTGAGGCAGACCTCTCCTGATCCACCTGCTGTGCCCCTCAGCAGTGTACTTCAGTAGCTCTGCTTGTTCTCCTCCCTGCTGTCTCTGGTGAATCTTCTTACTCCCCATATCTTTGGCCTGTACCCCAGTTCTTGTATGTATAAATAAAGTAAATCTTAATAAAACGTTATTTTAGTGTAATGTACAAACACTCTAGTTCTTTTAATGTGAAAAGCAGGCGGGTAGTAGTTTGGCAAATACTACTGAGAAAAATGTTAATTCCAAAGCAACAAATACTACCTTAGAGAAAAATTATTACATATATAATTTAGGTAAGTTTTTAACACTGTACACCCAATCAAAATATTATGAAGAACAGACGCTTATAAATATCCTTTTGAAGGCTCTGACTATAGGGGGGGAAAATGAGATGTATTATTTTTCTATTTGAAAATGGTCTCAAAAAATGAATATGATCTTCAAGTTCTCATACTGGAGATAAATAACTGAAAATTTATATGATGGCAACTGATGTTCAAAAATGATTTCGTGAAGAAAAATGAACTCTTACTTAGAATTTACTTTTAAATTAAGAAAGACTTAAGAATTGTCACTGCCTTGCCAACTTCAATTAAGATACCATGAGAACAACAGGTTAAACATTTCCACAGATCTTTGAACATACTGGATTTCTTGTAACATTTTAATTAACAGTACACTTTTATTACCCAAATTTCAGCATCTAATGTATGAACAAACAAATAATAAACACTAAAAGCTTCCACTATTAAATAAAATAGTCAAGACTATTCAAAGCTGAAAGAATATCCAGCAGATCATTCAGGAATGCTAAAAGCAGATATTCAAGCCACGAGACCTACACTGAATGTTAAAACATTTTGCACCCTGTGACTTGAATATGGCTTTGCTCATTTGACTAAGGTACCACAATCAAGCTATTCAGTTCAACTACACAGTCTGGCTCAATCATACAGTTAAAAAAAGAAGAAAGAAAAACTACAGCACTGAATTATAATGAATTTTTTTATAATGAATATTAACAAGATTACTGAAAGAGTGCTTTTAATCATTATGAATACTTATTAAAGCTAGGGGGTGTTTTTTCAAACACATTTTATTCTTTAATCAAATGCTGCTTGTATTTATAAGTCCTAAAATATGCAAAATAGTTACTCATTTCATGTGTAAACAATCTTGCATAAATTATTTACATATGGCTTTACACAAAAGAAAAACTCATTCTCCTTTCAGGACTGAGTTTCATGTTTGTGTTTGTATTTCAGGTACCCACACTAAAGGATAGTATAAACTTTATAAACTTAAGGATTAAATATGTCTCTTCAAAACAATTATTCAGTAACCAAAATAACAGGTTGCTTAATAGAGATATCAGACATTTCATACACATACAAAATCACTTCATACCTCTTGTCGGCAAGATCTGTTTTATTTCCTACTAACATGATGATAACATCACTTCCTCTTTCTGTTCTGACATCATCAATCCATTTTGTAGTTTGCTGGAATGAGTTAACATCTGGTGCAGGAAGGTAGATAGAGAGATTAGTGTTACTGCAAGTGTTTCCCCAACTGATAGACAAGAAAATAAAAGCCCTGGAAGTTGAAAGGATTGGCACATTAGGACCCATTTTTAATGTGCCTGCAACATAACTCCATTTTATCTGAGTATACTGTCAATGATCTAGACAAATCACAAGAATAAATTCCTCAAGGTTCCTTTATAAGGTAGTTCAAAGTTTTTGAACATGCCCAAGTGAGTGCAATGTACTGTATGTAATTGGAAAAAAAACTTTTAAAAATGCAATGACAGCTTTGGCAGATAATATGGTGCTACATTGCCACAATGCTTTTTTGATTACTTACACATATCAAACATGACAAAGAAAGCATCTCCAAAAGTATGTCAGCCAGTAAGTCCCAACATAACCAGAAAATTTGTAAAGCCTTTAAATAGCTCTCAACACCACTTTGTTTGCATTGCTTATTTAGTTTGTGATCACTTTAACTTTATTAGTTTAATGAACCAAAATCACCTTTTCTGGTGCTGAATTCTGAGTATTTCAGTTTTCCATAGTGGTTAAATAATTTACTAACATTTTAATCATATATGCATAATTTTAAAAGAAAAATAGACCAAGTTTCACTTGATTTTGTTAAAGCAAGCACAAACATCTTAAAGCTGCAAAATCTGTCAACAGACAATAATAAACACACATTCACACACTTTTTAAACAAGTAGCAACCCAAAGTAAAGCCTGAAAAAAAGGCAGACTGCATATAGCACCTAATCAGGGAATAAAGCCTCTGAATGTAAATTCTAACTTATAATTCTTATGAAGTAGATATGCAAAAATGTATGGTAACTGTATTGTTCAAATCAATAGTTTCTTTGTTTATATGTTTTTATAGAAGTTCATGGTGCTGCACTATGCTGGTTTTCTTATAAATTATGGATTGCTATATGGAATGATGCTTTTTACTGCCTAATATATATATTAGGCAGTAAAGACAATTTTAATCAAAGAGCATTTTCTTGTCAGTCACTAATGCTCCATAGAAAATGTATAGTCACTTAAAATGCCAACAGCATTATTCAATCTTTTGGGAAAACAAAAGAATATTACTAGCTTAGGTTCCCATTTAAAGTTTTTTCTAGGAAAGAAGTGAAATTAAAATTTGTTAGCTAAAAAATGAGTCAGTCACAGAATCCAGAAATGATTCAAATAAAAATGATATGTAGAAAACTGCATGTTATGTTTTCTCTCCCTTCCTCTGTAAAGAAAGGATGGATGGGAGGGTAAAGCAGAAAAAAGTTGGCTAGCAAAAGCTTTTAATAACCTCAACAAAAGCTCCAGAGGACTTACAAAACTTGGCAGGAGGCTTAAATGCAGATTATATTATTTTAGGGGAAACCTAAGATCAAGTTAAATAAAAAAGGAGATATTCTTCCAATCATAATTATGTTGTGCCTTACAGACATCAGGATTCTGAGAAAGCTTTGGGGCCCAAAGGAAATTTTCAAGGCAAAACTAAAAGCTGGCACAGTAGAAATGAAGTATTTGATACAAGCACCAAAGGATATATTGCTGGCCTAGCTGATCTGTGATAAGTTTTGCTTTGATAAACTCATTTTTACATGCCAATATGGAAAACAAGCACAAGACAAGAACATGCATGCAGCTAAGCTAAAGATTGAAAGAAGATTAGAAATGCATAATTTCCCCCCCCACTCACTTGTGATATCATAAACAACAACTGCCACAGTGGAGTCACGAATGTAGCTAGGAATCAAGCTCCTGAACCGCTCTTGACCTGCTGTGTCCCATAATTGCAATCGTACCTAACAACAAAATCAGTCAAACAAGCAAGAAAAATAAGAAAGGTCAACCCGTTGCAAAATACCTACTTGTGATATCGTAAACTACTACAGCTGCAGCAGAATCACGGATGTAACTGGGAATGAGGCTACGGAAACGTTCCTGACCCGCAGTATCCCACAGCTGCAACCTGATCTGTGGGATGGGAAAACATAAATAAAAACAAAACAAAACAAAACAAAAAAGAAACCCAAAACAAAACCCAAACTGTACTAAAAAGAAAAAAGAAACAATGTTTTTAAAAGGGGAGGTTGGAAAGGAGGTAGAAAGGAGATTCATGCAAAAGTGGTAGAATGGTAAGGGATGAAAATAACACAAAACTGTGCTTTTCCAAAGAGATTGTGAAGTAATATTAAAAATATGCTTGCTCTAAAGATACATGACTTAAAAAATGGCAATGAAGATTTAACAGACTTAAAAATACTCTTCTTTTTTCCTTCCCTATAGAAACCTCTACTTGAATCCTATGCCTCCTGGATAGCAAAGAGTAGACTCTGTTGATGTTCAATACTGAGAATGAAAGAGACAAATGTCAATGAGCAACCTTTATTACAATAAGGGAATTAGTGTATCAGAGTAACAGAATTAAAACTTATCTGAAAATCTCTGAAGTTAAAATGTGTGCTTTATTCCATCTACAACTCTTTGACATTGGGTCTCTGACTACTATGCTTATGTTTCTTTTATATATTTATCCTAAACATTATTTCTAATCTAACAAAAACAACAAATGTCTCTTTGCAATGCCACATTAAAACTTCTTAGACCATCATAAAGCAGTTTCAAAGCTTCCAAACTTTAAGCAATAAAATGCTATGTTAAATTAAAACAAAAGTGAAATTTCCAAAGAAAGGTTTAGATACTAATAAAGAAATAGCACTAGCAATTAAATGGGTTTTTTTTGGTATAGCTCCTGAAATAATGCATTTAAGATGGTCACTGTCTAGGTGGCAGGAAATTTCTTCAAAGGACAGTAGGCTAGAATACAGAATTTACACTGGAATTAAAGGGAGTGTCCCAAAAGACAAAAATCCAATGAATAATAATAACTATCATGCATAATCACTTCTGTACATGTCATATTCTGACAAAACCCCGAGGTTCACAAATTGTGTAATTCTCAAATAAAACCTTTCTCAGCCTCAAGAGCAGCACTAATTACTCCAAGCAAATACTCCTTTAAATGATCTCACTGCTACTTGCTATTTTCCCAAATCAAGATGACAAACTGGGTTTAGCAAGCCTCGGGCCATCAGGATTTTCCAAATAAATTTGCTTTCTCTAATCTTTGGATTTCATCTGGAGATAAGAAATGCAATACTCACTCAGTAATAACAGTTTTTCTCAAGGCTTATAAACTAAATTTGGTACCTTTTGCCAAATACTTCTTTTAGTGACAATGATAATAACTTTGATCATAGTTTTCTATCAACTTGTCCAGAAAATTACACACAGAAAACATTACTCACTGTTCGATCCTCCAAGTACATAGTTTTTGATAAAAAGTCAATACCAATTGTTGCCTGTAAAAACAAAACAAAAAAATTAATAAATAATGGCTTAAAGTTGATAAGCAGGTTAGGGTTCAAATGGGAATTAGGACTATGGAAGAAATAATGAATAAATACAAAAGTGAACAAAATTTTTAGTGACAAGGGCTTTCAATTATCACACACTGCCTTATGTTGCCAATCAAACTACAATCACCAACACCATAATCCTAAATATCGAAATTCTAAAGGATCAAAATTCTTAAATGTCTAAAACTCTACCCTAATACTGAAATTCTGACAGGTGAAAATATAGGATTTTGAAATCTCCCCTGCAAAGTCATTCAATGGGCAGTAACAACGTCTATCCCTTCATATATAGTACTATGCAAAAAAAAAAAAACACTATTCAGAAAAAAGAATTTTACAAGCTATTTGACCTTCTGAATCAGACACTTGCTGATACAGATTCTTCCACCCACACCACTAAATCGAATACAGCTTAGCTTCACACTGGATAAAGGATGGCTTTTTCAAAACTGACCCCACTAATGCTCATCAGCTATATTATATATAATTCAATACCATGTTGGAGATGACAACACTAGAACTTACCTGGTTGTTTATGTAATAATGACTAAAAAAAGTGAAACACTCTATAAACACGTATTTAAAGATTTGGGGAAATTGGCAGAAGAAAATGGATTTCAACTGATTCCCAAATCACAATGACAAAATTGGGATTAGGTATAACAAATGTTGTAAAAGTGAATTTCAAGGTGTTACCAATAGTCCAATGTATTTGGCAGAAAATCTAGATGAGTGGGATGGCCACACAACAAAGACAAAAAATTCAGTTTAAAAATTTGTGTCTCGGGGCCCTCCCTGGAGGTGCAGCGGATTAAAGCACAGCACTAAAAAGCTTAAGCCACTTTCACATGAGTTCGATCCCCCCCTGCCCTGGAGGTGATCCACATGGCTCTGCAGACCTCTCCTTACCCACCCGCTGCTACCCTCAGCAGTGCACTTCGTGGATCTGCCTGTTCTGCTCCCCACTCTGTCTCTGGTGAATCCTCTCACCACCCCTGCACCTCTGGCCTGTACCCCAGTTCTGTACGCACAAATAAATATTTTTTAAAAAATTGTCAAGAAAATAATAATAATAATGAACAGTCATATACCAATGACATTTTGTGGGGGTGGAGGGGGGAATGGGATCAAATGGGGGGTGGGGAGAGAAGTGCACAGGACTAGGGTGATAGCACATGGGTGACTCAGTGATTGGAAACCCAAGGGGATTACAATTGAGATGGAAAAAAAAAAATGTACAAAATGATGTAAAAGTAAACTATTATATTTATAATAAATAATAAAATAATAAAGAGATAAAAAAAATGTCTCTTTGCCTTACTGATTGGGAGAAAAATTTTGTACTCCATACAACTGATAAGAGATTGATCACAAAGATCTACAAAGAGCTCAGGCCTCCCTGGTGTCCTAACAGGTGAAGTCTCAGCACTATGAAGCTATTGCCAGCCACTGCAGCACAAGTTTGATCCCCCAGCCAGGGAGCTGACCTACATAGTTCAGCAAACCTCTCCTGCCTCACCTGCTGTTCCCCTCAGCAGTGTATTTCAGTAGGTTGTCTGTTCTGCTTCCCACTCTGTCTCTGGTGACTTCTCTCACAGCTCCCAACCCCCTCCCCACCGCTGAATTGCTAGCTTACCCCCACCCCGCCCCAGTTCTTGTATGCAAAAAAAAAAAAAAAAAAGCTCACACAGTTCAATAAAAACAAAGTAAACAGTCCAGTCAAAAAATGGGCAGAAGAGCTAAAAGGACACTTCACCAAAGAGGAAATGGAAATGGTCAACAGGTATATGAAAAATTGTTCAACGCCACTTATAGTCAGGAAAACTTAAAACCACAATGAGATACTACCTTACAACCAGTGAGCATGGCACATATTAAAAAAAACTAACAACAACTGGTGATGAGGATGTAGAGAAAAAGGAACTCTCCAGTTTGCTGGTGGGAATGCGAACTCATCCAACCACTATGGAAAGCTGTGTGGAGGTTCCTCAGACTACTAAAAATGGAACTACCATATGACCCTAGGAATCTACACTCCTAGAAATTTACCCAAAGGACACAAAAACATTAATTCAAAAGGGTACTTGTGCTTACTGCAGCACTATTTGCAATAGGTAAGCTATGGAAACAACCCAAATAGCCAAAAACATGACTGGAACAAGAAGATGTGGTATATATGCACACAATGAAATACTATTCAGCAGCCAGAAAAGATAAAAACCCAAGCCAGGCCCTCCCTGGTGGCGCGGCGGGTTAAAGCACTGCACTAAGAAACTAAAGCCACCTCTGCATGAGTTCGATTCCCGCCTGCCCCGGAGGTGACCACATGGCGAAGCAGACCTCTCCTGACCTGCCCGCTGTTCCCCTCAGCAGTGTACTTCGTCGATCTGCCTGTTCTGCTCCCCACTCTGTCTCTGGTGAATCCTCTCACCCTCTGCATCTCTGGCCTGTACCCCAGTTCTGTACGAATGAATAAATAAATCTTAAAAAAAAAAAAAAAAACCCAAGCCATTTGCAGCAACGTGGATAGAGCTGGAAGTGAAATAAGCTAGAAGGAAAAGAAAAATATCAGATGGTTTCACTTGTAGGAGGAATACAGGGGAACCAATTAAAGAATCAGGAAAAAATAGTAATGATCATAAAATAAAATTAACAGGCAACTATAAATCAGAGACGTTGTACAGGGGAGGAGGGAAGAGTGCAAAGGACTCGTAGTGGTGCAAGGGTGAAATGATGGTGGGAATTTTGGGGGGACTACACTACGGAGGAGAAAGCAAATATTGTACAAAAATGAGCAATGATGTACATATATATATAAACATATCAGAAAAAATAAATTAAATTAAAAATAAATTAAATTAAAACGTGTCATTTATCTACATTAGAATTTCTTCCAGCTGATGAAATTCTGGAAACTTGTAATGAATTAAAGCTACATTGGCCTGAAGATGCTACTACTGTTTCCACTAAATCTTTGGTCTGTATAAGCAGCTGCGTAACAAATTTCTACACACTCAAAACAACATAAAACCATAAAATGGAAGATGGAAAATTTAATAGGTAATATTCATGTTGATTTCTACGGGATCACAGAAGAAAGCTCATAAAATGAATGCCCAAAAAGAAAAAATGCAGTTCTTCCTGACACAGGACTTCAAAATATAATTAATGATGGTGAAAATCAGTCAGTTCTTATGGACTGCCTCTAAGCAACTGCTATTCTCTATCCCTGTAATACTTATTTTTACATGTTAAATTTTCCTTTCGGTTTTTTTTTAAAGACAATTATCCCACTACTTAAAATCATAGGCCATGTTTTACAACTCGTTGTGCTATGTATTACATCATTTTCAATACTGTAAGTATAAATTGTGTACATATTAAGTATTCTTACTCATTTTATGCAAAATTGTAAATTTGACACCATGAAAGTACATTATCACAACCCTATCATGTGTGAAAGTCTGTGAAGGTATAAAACTCTGAAGTTTTTACATTCTTCTTGAAGAAATGTCTCTTTTCCAAACTGTGCGAAATAAACTTCTCCCAACAGTTTATTGTGTGAAAATGATCTATGAAATATTTTTTATTACTCAAATAAATCCCTTTTATTTATTTATTTGTTTGTTTATTTTAAAGATTTTTTTTAAAGATTTATTTGTGCATACAGAACTGGGGTACAGGCCAGAGGCTCAGGGGCGGCGAGAGGCTTCACTAGAGACAGAGTGGGGAGCAGAACAGGCAGATTGACAAAGTGTACTGCTAAGGGGAGCAGTGGGCGGGTCAGGAGAGATCTGCCACGCCATGTGGTCACCTCCGGGCCAGGGGGGAATCGAACTCATGCGGAAGTGGCTTTAGCTTCTTAGTGCTGTGCTTTAACCCGCTGCGCCACCAAGGAGGGCCATAAATCCCTTTTTAAAAGTGTAAATATAATAAATAACTTTCAAAGATTTAAACAACTATTTCCCAGAATTTTACGTTGGGAAGGAGAGGGGTTGATTTTCCCAGACTGTGATTTTAAACTGGGGATTTTCATTTTCTAGAATTTCAACATTTTCTGATTTAGTGTTCTGGGGGTGGTATCTTTTTGGATTAGGAGCCAAACCTTGTGCTGTGTATTAGGGATTGTTTTACATTCTTTATGTGACTATCTCTAATCTTCACATATCCCTAGGAGGCAGCTGTTATTCAATTTTTCTCAATTTATGTATAATATGGGAATTCAGAAAAGTTAAATAATGTGTCTAAAAAGAACATAAAGCTTTGCTGTGGAGTTGGGGTAATATAACTTTAAAAAAGCCATTTTCACGACTGATAATGCCTTTATATATATTCTTTTTACACTTTCCTTAAGTACTTTTTTCCTTTGTATTTTGGTATGTTCTTATATTTTAACACATCTGTAGTTTTTCTCTTAGACACTCAGCACATAACATAACATACAATTAGCCATCTTACACATTTCTTTAAAAGGCTTTAATTTTTTCATGGCAGTGTGGGTTCAGAGCAAAACTGAAAGGCAGGTACAGAGATACCCCATATATCCATTGCCCTGACATACACCTGGCGCTATTCCTTAGTATTAACAACCTACCCCACCCCCCAAATATTACAGTTGTGATATTTCCTACTATTCTATAGACTGGGCCTGGAGTTGTTACTGAAAACCAACTGTCTGGGAATGTAAATTGGTGTAGCTATTGCGGGAAGCGATATGAGTATACCTCAAAAAATTAAAACTAGAAAATTCCATGTCATACAATTATCCTACTTCTGGACATTTACCTGAACATGAAAACACTAATTTTAAGAAATATATGCACCCTTTGTTCACTGCAGATTAGTCATGAAAATCAAGAGTTAAAAACAACCTAACCCATTGACAGACGAATAAAGAAGACATGGTACTTACACATAATAAAATACTTAGCTATATATGCTAA